TGGGATCGCAAGACAAAATAATGATTTCATGATAACTTTGGGTTTGTCCTTTTTGGCAAATTGCTAGTCTAATTCGATTGGAAACGGGCCAATGATCACAACTCAGCGTCTTCGGCCCCGATGTACGTCAAATTTTGGGCATATTCTGTCGTTTAGGCTCTTGATTAAACATTTTTTCCGTTTATGGTAATTTTTATTCCGGCAATATCTCATTCAATAAAATTCGAATTCTTATTCCATTTATTGGAGGACGATCCTGAATTTTAAAAGTTTCCATTTAAGTTGTTATATCAAATTTTTCCATTTATGGAAAATATCGTTTTTTTATTTTTATTATTTATTTTCCGAAATTTGCTAGGGTTTTGCTATTTAAACCATTGTAAGCCCTTCGAGGCAGACATTACTGAATTGAATAAAAACTTTCGTGAGTTTATCTCAAATTTGNAAATATCGTTTTTTTTATTTTTATTATTTATTTTTCGAATTTTGCAAGTGTTTTACTATTTAAAGCAATGTAAGCCCTTTGAGACCGCAGTTTATTGAATTGAATAAAATTTCTCGTGAGTTTTTCTCATATTTGTGAGATTGTTCATATTTCATATAATATTTCGCTACGTCAGAAACCTGGTAACATTATGTCATATTCTATGCCTATGTAATTTTTATCACTAATATAAGTAAAAAAAATGTTGAAGTTAACTTAAAGCGGGTGTAGCTCATATGGTAAAGCTCAAGCTTCCTGGCACCTCCATTTCATTGCATGTTGATAGAATAGTTATATTTTTGACAGAGATGAGCTATTGTTAATTTTTCTTAAATTCAATTTCTTTTATAATGGGATTTTTTGCCAAATGTGTTTGATGCACATTAAAATAGAAAGAATGCAATTTTTTTGTGATGTGATGGTGAACATGTGGTCGAAAAAGAAGGAAAAGTTATTGATGTGATGAAAAGTATTATTTTATTGAAAAATGTGTGGTTGAAAATGAGTAAAAAAATAAAAATAAAAATAAAAATGTGACTCAAACAAGGATTTAATTTCCATTATTATATCTTGCATTCTAAGAGAATTAAGCCCTGGCCCCGTCACGGAATTTACCTTGAGCCCCAATCCCAGCCCTAAGGCAGGGCGGGGCAACCTTGCCACGTTTATAATTTTTTATTCTTTTCTATAAATTTTATGAGGTATTTGAGTATTTAAATTTTTACCTTTTATTTGTGTGTATATATATAATTAACTAAAAATGAAAAGACCATAAATAAATTTAATAGCTCATCCAAATATATAAAGTCCATTACTTATTTAAGGGAAAATTGCCTTTTTTGTTCTCAATCTTTGTAAAATGCACCAAATTTACTATCAACCCTTTTAGCATAATTCATCTCAACATTTTAATTATGTAGCAAAACCAGTTCTTCTTTCATTTTGACCATTAAATGATGAATTTTCCCTTTTCTTCATAAAAACGCAATAAAACAACAAAAAATATATAAAAATGAAGTACCATAACTTTTAGAAAATAAAAATAAATTACACTTAAAATAATAAAAGAGATATTAACCATTAAAAAAATAAAGTTTAAAAAAAAAAAATCAATCTTCCCCAACTAGAGATGGCAATGGGGCGACTTCGGGGCGGGGCACCCGCCCAGGGGCGGAGCCAGGAAATATTTTAGGCTGGGCTAAATTTTTTTTTTTTTTTCAATGAACTTGTACACTAAAAGATGTTATACATCACACGATAAAACAAAAGCTGGACACTTAATTGGGCTAAATCATTTCCAACTAACTCATTATGACAAAATTGCTCAAAATCCCCTGAACCGGCCGGTT